AACTATAATACATTACAGATTACTCATTACTGTTAATTAAAAGTAAACCCTTACATTACAGTATTACTGTCTCAGAATTGTAATATGTTACATTACTCTTATATTACTTTTTAGTTACTTTCACCAAAATTACTACAGAATTAGAACTTAACATTATAAAACTCTATAATGTTCTATAATGAGCATTTTACATCCAGTAGAAAGTGATTTGATGTTGCAGAATAACTGTGACCTCTCCTGGCTACTAACCATATAGTATATATTTGGCAATGTGAAGGCTCAAGACAATGCAAGAAAGGATGACAGCCAGAATCACAAATGATCTGTTAACAGTATGGTAGAGGTAAAGTGATTATCTGGCAATATCTGTGAATGGCTTGGCTATATTCATATTAGACACAACCGATATGTAAACTCCAATGCCATGACAAAATGCAGATTTTGTTTTTTTTTTCTTATTGTTGCCATTATTGTATTTACTTTACATTCAAGTGGTTCACAACACAAAACTGTCATGCACAAAGTGAGCATGATGAACAGCTTTCTCAGTATAATGTTTGTGCACTGATTTTCTCTGTTTGTGGACAAAACTTCTTCCGAACTCTCACATACGCTGCTCACGCAGACACGCACAAATTCTCACGATCTCTCAAATATGCACTGCTCACACACAAATTTTCTTGCGTGCTCTCAGTACACTGCTCTCTCAGTGAGATTGCATGCAGACTCACAATTTGTGTCTTGTGTTCCCTCTTCCTTTCGAGCTTTTTGATATGTTGTATATTAGTACACTATTTATTAACAATAACCAACATACTAAAATAGACTTATAATTTTTAATCTAATAAACCATAACATTTTTGGCTGTATGTTATATGATGACATATTTCCAGTTTTAAACACTATTAACTATTAAACATCCAAAAGGTGCACCATACTAATAAAAAATTAAAAAAAACATTTATACAGAATAGCAGAAATGTAACTTTAAACGTAATTTCAAATGTAAATAGAAACACTTGATAACTCCAAAAGGAAAAATCCCAATAAACAAGTAGTTAAAATTCATTATTTAAATCACATATTTTCTCTTTAATGTAGAAACAGTCAGATGTCAGATGTGTGTCTGAGATTATCATTCCAAAATGTGCATTGTCTCCACTGAATAAAGCAGTTGTATCTGCACTGAAATGTTCGGATGACTTCAGAAGATTACAGATCATGTTCACCTGAAAATGGAAATAAATGTGATTTATTCAATGGAACTAGGCTAACACAGCTAAACAAACACACTGATTTGTTTGTGTGTACATTTGATGTTCATTTTTTTCAATGAGGAGTGTATTTATAAAAGAGTTTGAAAAGCATCAGGAATATAAACAGAAACGAAGTGTAAAACTTTAGAAACATATGAAATATTCAAATCAGATGACAACTCAAGGCTGTCCTATTTGTGCTGAATGTTATCATATAATTAGCAGATTTCCCATATTGTCTTGTTCATGCAGTGAACCTTTTGTCATAAAGGTTCCTATAAAACATTATTGGATGCTGATTAATATCAATAAAATGTACAATAGCTGAACATTTCTCACCTGATACATTTTAATAATTCATCTTAAAATGTCAAAATGAAAAACTTTACTAGTATTTTTTATTATTTAACATCAGGTGGAGACAGAGACCACTAACCAAGCTGGGATAAATAACCAGTGTTGTGCAAGTTACTTCCAAACTGTAATACATTACAGATTACTTATTATATCTGTGTTGTTGTTATGTTTAATGTTGGGTTTTTTTCTTTGTTTATTTATTTTTCTCACCCTCTCCGCTTCTTACTCAACCCTTAAGTTTCTTTTTGGTTCAGCATCTGTCCATCATCATGACAGTGTTGTGGTTCCACCAATCACCGGATGAGCTCAAGCATTTAAAACCCCGACAGACCAGTGTATGGTGTGCGCTCTACCTTGGCGTACCTTTAGTGCTCCACGCGATCTGTGTGTTTTGGCCTGCTTAGGCTGTTAAGTCATTTATTATCTCAGTTTACGGTGGTAATTCTTTGGATAAAATGATTTGATAGTAGTTGTGGGATTTAAACCTAGCCTGTGACCTTTTTGTTAGGTTTGTTTTAGTTTAGATGGGTTGTTTTTAGATTAGCTTGAGTGTTTTGCCACCCATGTAACTTTGAGTTTTGTAGTTTAATTAGTTTAGTTCAGGTGTCGAGTACACTGAAGATCTCGGTTTTATTTTCATTATTTCTTTTTGTCGCCTAGTTTAGACTTTAGATTTAAGGATTGTTTAGTTTTGTTAAATATTTTTGATTTGCTTAGACTCATTGTTTTTGTTTAAAGAGAATAATTGTAATTTAAAAAAATGAAAAAATAGTAAAAAGCTTAAATATAATTAATTCCTGCCTCATCATCCCTGATCTGCCGCACACATTACATTCGTCTCACCTAAATATTACAGCATCCCACTTAAACATCTTTAAAACACGAAACAATTGTTCATAATTAAGTCAAACCGTTCCAGTTATTTTTGGATATGGAAAGAGACTCGTCTTTTTTGGTGTGCACCAGGTTTTTGGTCTGCATCAAAGGAACCAAGGGAACCAAACAGTCAAGTGAAATGCAAAGTATATAATCTTAAATTTGCAGATTCTTAGTATTCTGAAGATTGTACAGTAATATTGTTTTTCATGCCCCATATAACATGATTCAGTAAAGATTCTAAAAGATCATTATTATCTTAAAGGAAAACATAAAGTCAAATTTGGCCTACCTCTTTCTGTTGGTCCAGGTATACTGTACTTCTGGCCTTTTTTCCAATTTCTTATTGCCAAACCAACAATTATGGCACATACCAACAGCATAGCAACACCAATAGCAATCCATATGTGGTGTTGGTGAAGTTCAACTAAAAGAAGAATTTAGATGAAGATCAGATCAAAATTTTATCTCATATGTTCATCTCATATGTTTATCCTGAGCCACCTCAGCTGACTTCTCTCGTTGTAAAGAAGCAGCGGCTCTACTTCGAGCTCCTCCCGGGTGTCAGAGCTTCTCACCCTATCCATAAGAGTGCGCCCTGCCACCCTTCGAAGGAAACTCATTTCAGCCGCTTGTATCTGAGATCTTGTCCTTTCGGTCATAAACCAAAGCTTAAGACCATAGGTGAGAGTAGGAACGTAGATTGACCGGTAAATTGAGTGTTTTGCCTTTCGGCTCAGCTCCTTCTTCACCACAACAGACATCAACTGCTGCCGCTGCACCAATCCCCCTGTCAATCTCATGTTCCATCCTTCCCTTACTCATGAACAAAACCCCGAGATGTTTACCCTCCACCTGGGGTAAGGACTTTCCTCCAACCTGGAGATGCCAAACCACCTTTTTCTGGTGGAGCACCATTGCCTCGGACTTTGAGGTGCTGATTCTCATCCCAGCTGCGTCACACTTGGCAGCAAACCGCACAGTGCATGCTGAAGGTCCATGTTCGATGAAGCCAACAGAACAACATTGTCTGCGAATAACAGAGATGAAATCCTGTGGTCCCCGAACCGGACCCCCCCCAGCCCAAGGCTGCGCCTAGCAATTCTGTCCATAAAAATTATAAATAGAATTGATGACAAGGGGCAGCCCTGCCGGAGTCCAACATGCACTAGAAACAACTCTTATTTATTGCCGGCAATGCGAACCAGACTCTTACTCTGTTCATACAGGGACGAGACGGCCCTCAACAGATCGCCTCTGACCCCATACTCCATGAGCACCCTCTACAGAATGCCACGAGGGACACGATCGAATGCCTTCTCCAAGTCCACAAAACACATGTGAACTGGTTGGGCATACTCCCATGAACCCTTGAGCACCCTGGTGAGGGTATAGAGCTGGTCCAGTGTACCACGGCACGGATGAAAACCGCATTGTTCCTCCTGGATCCTAGTTTCAACCATTGGCCGGATTCTCCTCTCCAGTACCCTGGCATAGACTTTCCCCAGGAGGCTGAGGAGTGTGATCCCCCTATAGCTGGAGCACACCCTCTGGTCCCCCTTCTTAAAAATAGGAACCACCACCCCAGTTGCCCAGTCCAGAGGAACTGTCACTGACCTTCATTCGATGTTGTAAAGACGTGTCAAAAACGACAGTCCCAAAACATCCAGAGACCTAAGGCCGTACTCACACTAGGTACAGTTGCCTCGAACCGGGCCAAAGCACGCTTGTCCCCCCTCCCGTCTCCCCCGACGGCCTCGCACTCACACCACAAATGGGCCTCGGCACGCTTGCGTCATAGCTGCTGCTGCAGAAGCGCTCTCTCACTCAGCAGCACAGTTGAGATTCCTCTAGTTATATCGTTTCAGTCGTTTATTATGCAGTGACATGCAGTCAAATATTTCGCCAAACAGTTCTTAGGGATGCGTTGACACGCAGTCAGATATTTCGCCGAACAGATCTGCCACTTTTGGCGCTCATAAACAATCATAAAGCTCTCTTGCTGCAGGAATGAGGAGGTCTGCTGAAGCCGCGCAGCTGTCGTGCAGTGAGGGGTTTTCGTCTTTAATAAACTACAGCAGTTTGTGTTCACTGAACAGTAAGAATTATTAATAAATCCACATGAAACAGTGCCTTAAAAGTCATGTCTCGCTTTCAGTTTCGGGCATTGGCGCGTTTTGCACAAGCGTACCGTGCCAAAGCCCAAGTGAACCGCGCTCAGGCACACCTCTTCCAACCGGGCCAGGGCCAGCCAAGTTAACCGTGCTTGAGCCCGATTCAGCGCACTCACACTTCTCAAACGATTCGGGAAACGGGCCTGGGCACGGTACGGATGGCATAGTGTGAGTAGGCCCTAAGATACACAGGGTGAATCTCATCCACCCCCGCTGCTTTGCCACTGAGGAGCTTGCAAACTACCACAATGACCTCAGCTTGGGGGATGGGTGAGTTCACCCCTGCATCCCCAGTCGTCTCTGCTTCCACTTGTTTATGTGTGTAAAAGATAATTACCCAAATCAATGTGATATTCTTCGCCCATGTGTTTTGCAGAGCAGGTGTAATTGTGTTTTTCTCTCTCCTCTGCGCTGATCTCCAGACTCTTCCTCATCTGGTACGTCCCGTCTCCATTGGGCAGCAGATCTCCTCCAGTGAACTCATGATCAGATACAGGCTGTCCATCTCTTAACAAGGTCAGGTTGATGTGACGAGGGTAAAATCCTGTCGCTAAACAACTCACTACAAACCCTCCAGAATCTGAAGCTTTCTGGATGAGCCTGACTTGTGGTTTCACTAAAAAACAGAATTATAAAATTAAATATTTTGATATATAATATAATATATAAAAATAGGTGCAATTTAAAAATATTCTATAGACACACATTTTCTTTTTACCTTTTCTATTTATTTCTATTTCTCTTTTTTTGACGTAATTCTTTAGAGTATCTATACACACTGGGTAAAAGAACTGTTCAAATTTCATCTTGAATTCTTCAAGGTGGGGTTTCAGCAGATCTTGTCCAATAGTTGCAGTCACAGTATAAGAAAACGTCTTGTTGAAATAGCACAACTCATCTGTGGTGCAGCCTTTGGCAGCATCTTTAGTAATCATTTTTCCAGAAGTGTGAAAGTCCAGCAGCTCACAGACAACTAGTGTCTGATAAACATCAAGACCTGTGATGGAAATGAAGGAACATACTGTGAAAGATCAGCCTCTATTACACATGGGAAACTTTTTTTTATCGAGCCACGTCTGCTTACTGTCATTTTTGTTGTCTTGCCCCAGCAGTCGCGATCTTCTCATAAAGGATTCATGCATGTAGTGACTTATACTAATGATGTAATCTGAATGAATCACGTCATCCTCATTTGTTGTATTACCTCTTGGAATATAAGTCTCTGAATTATAGTATCCAACTGTGATGTCATCCAAAGTTGTCGTATAACTAAATTCTGGAAATTGTGTTTTTCCTTTAATATAGGTTGAGAACAACCAAAAAGAGAGACTTGAACCTGAAATACAAAATGCTTATCCATGATGTGTTTATTTTCTAAGTATTGTGCCTTCAAAGTTAGACACGTAGGCTGAGACTTTCACTTTCACTTAGAAAAAAAAAAACAATAAAGCCTACTATGAAGATCTGTAAAAAGATAACTTGTCTGAGTTCGATAAGATCAAATTGAAAATGTATTTACCAGCAATCAGTTTAAACAATTCAAAAAAATTTTAAAGACTTACCGTTTGAATCTGAAGCAAATGTTGGAGAGAAAAATACTAGTAACATAAGAATGGTATCCATTGCCTGACATTCTTTCGGTCTGTCGAGTTTTTAAAAATAATTTGCTCAATAGCTAATTAAACACATTGTTTATATGGTAAATGTAACAAGATTACAAAACAAATACATGTTCAGTGACTTGAAAAACATCCGAATGAAGGATTTAATTTTCGCCGTTGATCGTGCAGCAGTTTTTTAAAAATGCAGTCATTCCAGTTTAGGTGGCTCATGCAACCGTTTAGCTAAAAATATTTGACAACTCAATGCTGTTCCAGGTGTGGTAAACATTTATTATATGATAAGCAAGTCAGATTGCAATATTGTTTTCATTATACAGCAAGCCTTTTGTGCTATGCTGTATTCCTCTAAAACAGTGGTTCTCACACTGTAGTACGTGTACCACGTGTGATACACAGGCTTCCTTCTAGTGGTAAGCCAAAGAATCGCTGAATAATTAAAGTAAAAAAATGAACACACTTTTAATTCTTATGATACGTACGATAACACCGATGTGACCAGTAAAATGATTTCAGTAGGCTAAACCTTTCGTTTTCTTTTCAATTTTCTAATGTTTGTATTCTATCATTTGAAGCTAATTTCCTCCCATATTTGTAACCGTTGTTGTAGGCGTATTCTGCATTTTTATATCCCAATGTTGACAGGTATAGTTTTATCACTTGCTTTTCTGACACACAAAGCCTAAGCACATCTAATTTCTAATTTTATCATGTAAATCCAATTTGTATATTTAAAATACAAGTTAATGTCTAGATTTTAAACTTATACAAATAAGTTATATATACATGCAACATATTTCAAAATTTATCGAAAAGAGCTTATATATTCGAATATGATGACAAATATCCATATTTATGAGGTCCAAGGAACATTTCCAGGTTTTAATGAATAGGCTACTTCATGATAATATCTTTACATTTAAGTACAGCAGATTTGTTTTTACTTTTAAAAACCATTTTTAGTTTAAAAGCACATTTTTATTTAAACGCTATTATTTCTTTTTACCTATAAGCACAGAGAAGTGATAATGTTCAAACTATGTGTCATGTTTAAAGTGGTTGACAATAATAAATATTCAAAATAATATTAATCTGTCACATGCAGTGCAGTAGCTGCTTAATTAGGCCAATTACGCTACTGTATTTTAATACTGGTCATTATGGTGGTACCTGGAGTGACCTTTTTTTTTTTTTGAGGAGATACTTCTTCTCAGAAAAGTTTAAAAACCACTGCTCTAAAACACTATTGGAGGCTGATAAGTAATAATTATTATTCATTCATTTTCGTTTCGCTTACTCCTTTTATTAATCTGGGGTCGCCACAGCGGAATGAACCACCAGTAATAATTATTAATAAATGTATATTAAAACGTTTTGTTACTGTGTTTAGTTCTTATGCAAATATTTTAGCAATGAAGCGGTCTGCAACTATCTCGAAGTATTACAAAAATGACTAGTAGCCTACTTTTTATAATTTACTTAACATTAGGGGAAGACAGAGAGACCACTAATAATATAAAAACCCTCACAGAATTTGTAAACTGTTTAGAACACCTGAATTCTATAGCTTTTTTGTATTCTATAGTCTTTGATAATACATCTGCTAACACAGACTGATCGTTTCTGTAACGAATATGGCAGCTTACCATTCATCCGCCCACCAGAGGGAATATTGACTGGGTACTTCCTCGGTGGTACTTCCTGGTAGCCACCATATATAAGCACACGGCTTATGTCTGTTTTTTTGCGAAGTATTGCCAGTTTCACTGCCTTCTAAGCGTTTTCCTACTGCTGTTTCTGCCATTGTGTTATGACCTTTTTGCCTGCCCTTTTGACTACTGTTTTTGGATTTTGGACTCTGCCTTGTTTGCTTTTACGGACTGCCTCTTTGTTTGCTTGCTGTTGCCTGGTTTATAATCATGATTCTGCCTTTGTTTGATGCTAGCTGTTTGTTTACAGTTTTTTTGGATTGCTTACACACTAAAATTAAAATTAGTACACTATTAGCAAAACCTTACACACAAGTATCAAAACATCAGCCCATATTTGCACAACTATAAGCACATTGTCAACTTAACACTTGTTGCAAAACTCTACACACAGTGATTTGCAAAACACTAAACACACTTAGCATACATTACACACTAAAATCTATCATGAAGTCACTTCATTACAATACCAAAGCACGGACTGTCAAATTACTGCACCGTCCAACCAATTGGTTCAACACAGTCGTCAGGTGTGCAAACACTTGTTTGATTAATTGTAGACACATCAATCAGGTGTTTAAGCACTATAAAATGACAGTTTCGATGAAAACCATCAGGTCTCAATATCAACACACACGCCATAAAAAAAACCTATTCAAATGAAGCAAATTTATTGTTAATTTCGAAAGGGTGAAAGACTGGCATGATTATGCAGAGTTATGTATTCACTTGTGATCTTGCATACTGTCTCATAATCTTTTACTGTACTGTAATACTAGATTTACACTGAACTACACAATTTTGCCTGACACTGTTCTTCATGTAGTTTTATGAATGGATGGAGAAGAGAACCAGCATGTATTCATTTACGTAGATGATGGTGTGTTCAACCTGACGAGAACACAGAGTAGAAGAAATCATTGGCCACAGGGCTATAGTCAATGTCTCAGGGCAACGTGTGGAAAATGTACAGTAACACTGTGCAGCCATTACAAAGAATGGGGTCCTCCACTGCCATGACCATATGGGCCCTTACAACACAGCACATACACTTACATTCTTGGACCAATTGCACAACATAACAGCAGTAAATCAAATCGGTCATGCGCAATATATTGTTGTCTGGAACAATGTGTCTTTTCCACCGTTCTGCTCTGGTTCAGAACTGGTTTCAGCAACATCCACATTTCACCGTCCTAAATCTTCCAGCATACTCTCCATTCCACAACCCTATAGAAGAGTTTTCTCGGCATAGTGGTGGATGGTATATGACCTCCATCTTCAGGCTAAGGTACCCCTAATCCAAGCCAGTGAGGAGGCCTGTGATCAGATGGAGGTAGCAGAAATACAAGATTCTACATTCAAGACATTTCTTTCCAAGGTGTCTTGCTAAGGACAACATTGCAATTGAAAATTCTCATGCCAGTTTAATACGTAAAGTGACATGTTACAGTACTTTGAATCTTCATGCCAACATGTTGGACATGTTGAGGAATAAATGAGTTCCTTCAAGGTGCAACATTGTTCTTGAGTAGTGTTTGGTGAATTTACTTTATATTTGTACTTTGTTGATGGTAGCTTACTCTAATCATAGGGAAGCAGAAGTGCTAAAAGTGTTTTAGGTTTATCACAGCAGTGTGTAACTCGTGCAAACAGTGTATAGTAAATGTAAAAATGTGTGTTTCTTATGGTAAAAAAGTGTGTTTTTTGAACATAAGTCTATAGTTTATAAGAGTGTTTAATTATGCAAAGGATCTGTAATGTTTTGCTAATTGGGTGTGTGGTCGTGCTAGTTGTGTGTACTGTTTTGAAAACACGGGGCCTGTTATGAAAATCGTGCTTAAGCAATCCAAAAAAACTGTAAAAAACTCCAGCTTTTGGATTCATTCCGCCTTCATGTCTTCACCTACGGCTCCCTCACAGTTTCACTTAACCCCAACATGTCTTCTTCAGGAACCAGAGTTTTTTTTTTTTTACCACAGAAGTGCCATTAGTCACGGATTTAGATTTTATGAACCAAGAGTGATGTACTGAGGGTTATCAAATTGACCCTGTTTTTATTTTACATGAATTTCCCCTTTAAGATCAATACAATTGATGCGAAAAAAGAGTGTCAAAAAATGTGAAAACATGCTCTAAATTTGTGACACGGTGGTGCAATAGGTAGCGTTGATGCCTCACAGTCACAGCAAGAAGATCACTAATTCAAGCCTTGGCTGGATCAGTTGTCATTTCTGTGTGGAGTTTGCATGTTCTCTCCGTGTTCGTGTATAAGTGAATGGTGTAAGCTATATTGTCCGTAGTGTTTGAATGAGTGTGTATGGGTGTTTCCCAGTAATGGGTTGCAACTGGAAAGTTATCCGTCGCGTAAATATATTCTGGATAAGTTGGCAGTTCATTCCACTGTGGCAATCCCAGATTAAGAAAGGGATTAAGCCGAAAAGAAAATGAATAAATGAATATTTTCATTTCCACATTCGTCATAAGTAGAAGTCGTGTCTTGTGTGAAAGTGTGTAATGCTACTGGATTACACTGGCAACACCCGGGAAAAAAGATAGTAGTTAAGGAGTCAAACAAAGAAAAAAAAATCATTTGTTGCTGCCATTGGACAGTAGTATCAGAATGCTGACTTGTATGTGCAAGCTGAGACATGGAGTCAAATGCTCTCAATGGAGCTATAGGAAGGGAGAGGGTTAGGTGTGCGCATTAAAAGCATTTGGAAGGAGGTTCAATTTAAGCAGAGAAGTTTTTCAAAGATGGGGTGGTTGTGGAAATATCTAAAATAGACATGGAACACCCTTTTGAAGGGTGTTGGTGTTTGGTTCTGGGGTTTGTCTTGTTGTTTCTTACTGAAATATAAATGTCTTCAATAAAACATTCTCAAATCTGACAATGGGTCTTCTCTTTACTCACTGTTGTGGTGGTCCATCTGATTTCTTTACAGTAAGCATATGCTAGACATGACACTTTTTCTTTTCTTCAAAATGGATTTACATTATAATGGTAACAAATAAATTGTTTCAGTTCTTCTTAACAAACAATATTCATTATGGTTAACAAAAATATATGTGTAAAAAGAGTATGGTATAAAACCAAGAAATCACTCACACATGCAGATTGACTCTAAAGTCGTGTATTTTTATTAGTCAAAGATATTGGCTGGCAAATCTATTTAAACAAACCTATAAAAGCAGACAACAATAGAGTTAAAAAAATGAAATGTAAAAGAATAAAAGTTATTAAAATGTGCTTTTTGAGCTTGAGCAATATTGGTTAGCATACTGGACGTGATCTTTTTCTGATTGGTGTAACGGATGTGCTAGTAATTACTTTTATTTAGTAATTGTGCTTTAGATTACTAATACTATTACTAAAATTGTGAAGAAGCAGGAGTGATTACCAGCTCTGGCCTGCAGATGGGGATACAGCATTACAGACACAACTTTTAACTCATAGTGGAAATGTACTTGAACGGTACTGAACTGTTCCTTCTAAAGGAAAATAAAACTCTCATGACAGTAGGGGAGAGCGAAAATAATGAACAAAGTAATGGGGTTAGACTAAATATAATTTTTTTAACCAACAACACACAAGCCTCTCCTACAAATGAGCACTGAAATTATAATTGTCGGACCCATGGTTTCTGTGAGGTATTGTCAATAAGTGCCAGGAGTAAAAATGTTACTATTTACCCCACCTGCAGGCAAGTTGTAACAGATAGAGGGTTAGTTGTAACACATGCATTTCAAGGCAGATATCACGCAATTAATTTAACTTCTGTTTACTTTAAATAGTAGCTATATTTCCTTAGTAAGTGGCTCATTTCTTTTTTATTCTACACAGCACAGTATGTTTATGTATTTGTCTATTGGATAAACACATTTGAATCTATTTGCATTATTATAAAATGCATTTATTTGCATCATTAGCAATAAAATATTTTTTTTCTGTTAAAACAATATTTTCTATTAAAAAACATTTTTATTAAAAAATTCCCAACATTACACTCAAAATTTAAATATATATATATATATATATATATATATATATATATATATATATATATATATATATATATATATATATATATATATATATATATATATATATATTGTTTGTCCAACAGTGTGTGGCTTAATTGTAACACCCTGTTACAACTAACCCCATTGTGTCATGTTTTTCTCAAAACTGGCTAGCAGTCACTGTGTCGCTTACATATTTCAAAATGGTTCCATCTTTTAGCCTAGAAGACGGTGATCACAGCAATATAAATATATACTTCCCTTCTTAGACTTTACAGACCTGAAACTTGCTTATAGCACTTATTCATTGTTGCTCTTGGTTGTGTAAATTGCTTCCTTGTCCTCATTTGTAAGTCGCTTTGGATAAAAGCGTCTGCTAAATGACTAAATGTAAATGTATAAGATTTTACATTATATAGCCTAAATTGTCCATAGTGTATGGGTGTGAATGAGTGTGTGTGGATGTTTCCCAGAGATGGGTTGCGGCTGGAAGGGCATCAGGTGCGTAAAAACTTGCTGGATAAGTTGGCGGTTCATTCCTGCTGTGGCGACCCCTGATTAATAAAGGGATTAAGCCGAAAAGAAAATGAATGAATGAATGAATTAATATTTGGTTTGATTTTCCTTGTATCCTTGTTGATGTGGGTCAGGCTGTTACATTAATGTTGTTTTTCAGAATTTTCTTCAGATGCTGAAAAAAAAAAAGAAAACTAATTGTGAACATTGAGAAATCACGTGTCATTAAATTAATCTTACAGTTCACATTAAAACTGGAAGTCTCAATAATACATCAGCAACATTTGAAGAACTGTAATAGCATAACATGTAAAAAGCAACAAAACTAATATTTTATGCAGCATAAAATATTTTAAGCGGGCATAATGTCTTGGCTAATCAAGCCAGATTCCTGTCTGTCCACAAGTGAAATAATTAATAACATACCAAATTAAATTGAAAATGCACTAAAGCAAGGATTTCAGTAAAGATGTGCTTTCATATTAGGATGAGGAAGTACATACAGTAAAACATGTTCACACGGGAAAGCTGTGATTTATTTCTAAATTTTTTCACCTATAATCAGACATCAGATACAGTGTCCTTTCTTACAAACAAAACATGACTCCTCTGATATCAGATGTCCAAATGTTTCCACAATATTCTACGGACGGCTTTCATGTCAAAAGGGTTCTCGAAATTTCTTGTATTACTGCACCACCAATCAAACTCAAAGATGTTTTAGTATTTGAAACATCATATAAGATGCCAACATGAGGTTTAGCATTCTGCCATCTTTAAAAATTCGGGATGAAATGACAAAACCCAGACAAAGATTATGTGCAAAGGAAATGCACAGTGATTTTACCAACATTTACTTTTTGTGAACTGTAACCCTACTGAAAAAAAACAGCTTAAACCAGCCTAAGCTGGTCAGGCTGGTTTTAGCTTGTCACCCAAGCTGGTTTTAGCTGTTTTTTTCAGCAGGGAAGTGACCACTAAATGATTATACCACTTTAAATTAGTTCATGTCACATGTTTTCCGTAGCTCGGGTAACAAATAGGTTAATCAAATTAGCAGAGCGAAGAGGATACCTGTTTCTGTGCAGTTCGAGGAGATGAGTAGCAATTTATGAAGAAAGGAGGCTTAATCCTGCTCGGTTTATATCGTAGAACTCTTTGGTAAAGTGTGAGGTATGTGAAGTTGATTATTTAAGCCATATGAGTTTGTTTGTATGTATATGTTAATCGTCTTTATACACTTCATTGCTTACTTTTCTCTCTTTTCATTGTTTAGTTCATATATAGTGTCATATTTTTCTGTATACAAGTTGTATTTATTGATTTTTGTTGTTTCTTTGTGTAGTTTCATGGTGCTACGCAACGAAAGTTTAATGGCTCTCGTCTTGAGCAAAATAAAGAAAGAAGTACCTTTCAGAAACTCTCTGTCTCATTCATGGATGCCAAAGAGCAGCTAATTGAACAATCACAAATAAGGTG